GACCCTGTCTGTCTCAAAAAGACTCGAAATCAGAAGGGAAGCTTCTGTTCATATGAGGAATTTCCAAGTGAGGTTTTAGGATTCACTGATTTAGACACTTACCACACTAACATAGATTATTTACAAAGCTAAGAGTTTCTGCTGCTGCACACTCCTCGTCAAAATGCTGAGTTTTTGGTGTGTGTACATACACTGCAACCAGTCAATGTTTATGCAAACTTTTCAGCCTTCTGCTAGAGAGTTGAAGATAAAAAGGAACTTCATCTTGCAGCAGAACAACAACCTAGAGTGTACATCCAAATTAACAAAGAATGGCTTCACCAGAAGAAGATTAACGTTTTGGAATGGCTCAATCAGAGCACATACAAATCTGATTGATAATTTGGTATTTACAGAGGGCTTTGCACAAGAGTAACCCTCTCAGTTTGCCAAATTCTGAGGATTTTTGCAAAGAAATAAAAGCAAGATCAAGCCAGATAAGACAAGCAGTGCTTCAACAAAGTAAAAAAGGGTATGTACACATACCTCAACTTATTATTTTTTCAACAAAAAAGCTGTTTGTTTTTAAATTGTGCAGTCTATCGGTCACATTAAAGGTTTCAAAACTCTGCTTATTCTGGCATTTTAACAGTGATTTGTAGATTTTGTATGTCCACTGTACTTGACCACCAAGAACTCTGTGATCCCACATGCAAATACAACCACATGCAGTGAAAACGGCACAAATAATATACAATACGTTGACTGAAAACGCAACACAGTAACACAACACTGCCGAACAGCCGGAGCAAGACAAATGAAAATGTAAGTAAAGCAGTAAAAGTTGAGATGGCCAGTCTCTGGACGCTGCAGCACTGAAAGAAGTGCTTGTAAAAGTGGCAGACTGCCTCGGTAAAGATGCCAAATTCTGTGTCATTTAAAGCAAACTGCCAGCCTCAGGACTTTCTGCCACTTAAAGAGAGCATCCCCTAATTCCCCTAAGTGCTTCATGTTGCAAAAGTCACTCTATACAAATTAATGAACAAATCAACCAAAGGAAAGCCAAGCTCTTATTGAGGCACTTTTCTCAAGCAATTAGCAATTAGTAAAAGTTCATTATCAGACCTGATGGAACAATAATGGCAAAATACTGCATCTTTCATGTAAAAAAATACACAAAAATGCAAAACTGAATTTGATAAGTAAATGTTTGAGAGGGTGAATCACTGACGGGAACCATGAGGTGCGTATCTGTTTTTTTCCCACTGAGTTACCTGCCTCTCTGACTGCAGAGAAGCCCAGATTATGCATGAATATAGCCGGTTATCAGCTGACCTTTAAATTGGTGCCGCAGAGTGTCTGCAGGCCCAGGGGCTGACGCTCGTACCTGATTGGCTGCTTTGCCTCAGACCTGCTGACAATAGAAATTAACAGAAACAGGAAGGCATATCCGCAGGCGGAAGAAGTATACAGGAGTGGAGTCAGATAGGGAGAGTTGGGGGAAAGAGATCAGGATTGGGGAGTGTTGGAGTTTGGTTGTGTCAATATAACAATAAATTTGCACTTCTTCCTCCAACCTTCTGTTGTATCTTAAGCTTCAGGAGAGAAGGGAAATGTCATTATGTGCTGTGAGGCATGCTAATATAACCTGGATTTTATATCTCACTCAGTCATACTATCGCTCCTTCTGTCTAGCGTTTGTCTTCGTGTTCCTCCCAGTATTTTTGAACATCGTTGGTGGACTGGTCTGGTCAAACTGGGATTCTTTGGTAAATAGATATGTTATGTAACTGAGGGGTAGATGGAGATAGGGGCTGGAGATGAGGTCTGTGTTCTGTCATCCACAGGGAGAAATGGGGCTCTGTGTGTCTGTGAAGGATGATGGATTACATGGGGGGCAGGGGGCTCTGTGTGTATGTGTGTGTCTCCCACCCACTGTAGTGCTATGTACACAGATAAAGCATGCCTGGGAATTATTATTTCCACAAAGACAGCTGGAAAATAAGGTAATGAAATAAAGCAAATATTTGTAAATAGGAATCAGGGAGTTCACCTCAACACTGTGCAAAGCTACAGTGTCCTGATTTGTAATTATGTTGTGTTGTTAACAAGAGCCCAGGTGGTTAAGTCAACTATGTTCGTAAACTTGAGTCAGAAGTAAAACCCATGTAAAGATTAAAATATGGCTTTAATACATGGATAACTTTAACGTAGTATGGACCAGCTTATAGGTTACATTCAGAGGGGCGGAAAGTAAACGTTTACAAATCGACACAGCAGAGAAAAGGAGCCACAAGATACTTTTAACAGAAAAAATATACTCAGTGCTTTAGAAAATGAAAATACTGTTTCCTTTTGCTTAACAAGCATTTAGTGTCACTAACTAGTGAATAAAATACCAGTTGAACAACTTTCAGCATTTAACAGTTCCACAACTGTATTAACAAAACAAATTCAAACCCTTTTAACACAAAATAGGGTGTAAATTACATATAAAGTCTGTAAACTGAAATAAAACTGTTGAGAGTTTCTTAACTTGTTCCGTTAAGTTTTTTAACTCAGTGTTGTATTCTGTTCTCCTGTTGTCAGTTCCGGCCTTTAAATTGTCGAACGTCATGTCATTGTCAGAGAGCTTTTATAGGTATGGTCGAGAACGTGGGGCATTAACAATCCAACCCCAGTAATGAGTTTCTTGATGAAAGAGCAGTTTGGTCACTCATCAAGATGAACGGGCAATTACACACCATCAGGAAAAGAAGGTGATGGGTTCTGGGTTGGCTTTTACTTCATGTGATTCACTATTTTCATTTCCAACACCACTGAATTCTCATCATTTTTCCACCGCTGCCTGTGAGCATCATTCAGAAGGTCAATCAAATATAATTACAGAACCAAATAACACATGCAAAATAGAAAACCGCATCGAATGAATGGTTGCTCACCAACTTATTTGCAGAAAAGGCATCTAAGAGTTTTATCACCTATGGCCTTTTTCCACTGGCTTGATTTGGCCCTACTTGACTCCACTCGGCTCGCGTTGCGAGCGTTTCTATTACTGTTTTTTTTCCGTACTGGTAAGTTTTTAAGCCCCTGAGTGGGGACTACGTGTGACGTGTTGCTCACTGATATGATGGGACCTAGAGAAATGAGAAGGTTTTTGCTGAGCTAGTGCAGGGAAAAATTAATAAAACTCAAGAACGACTACAATAATATTAAGGACCACATTCGCCAGAGGGGGTCAAACCGAAATATAATTTTACCATTTACAAATTACAAATCATGCCTGAAGGCTGTATAAAAGGACACAATGTCAGCTTTATGAATTACACTTATATAGGGGGTTCTGTTTTTAACAACATCCTAAACCAGTTGATCACACATAAAATCAGCTGTTCAGGCGCACAAACATTTCCCCCAAAACACACAGAACAGTACCACCATGAAATGACGTGTTTGGTTTGGAAATTTATTGATGGTCCTTAAGCGAACCAGCATCTGCAGGAGGAGGGAGCAGCCAGAGAGCAGCTGCCCGTAATCAGACTGCCTGCATCAGATCAAACGGGAGGAAGATCTCGGTGAATCCGCGAAGCACGAAAATCTAATTTCCAACCTTAAACTAACTTTACCGCGGTCAGACGTCCACAGTTTTGGGCTTTAAAGTCCTTAACCTCGTTATTGCCATTGTTATGACAAAAACATCCCCGTAAAGCCCAAATTTGCCACACCCCCTTACATGAGAATCCCTGATCCTTATTTTTTAAGTTCTGGCTGAGCTGTGGTCCAGATAATTATTCCAGTGGATCATTTTATACATAAAAAAAAAAAAAACATATATAAGACATTCTTGCATTTACAATAATACAAACATTATTAGTATTTACTTTGTTTTTATTATCTATTTAAATATTTATTTTTTATTATTTCACACAGATTACCTTAATGTGACAATGTCACAGTAACAATAGCGCCACAGCACACTACACTGATGGCTGAAGGCGGGGCTTCAGCCGCCATAGCTCCAGCCGTCAGTGGGTCAGTGGAAACACAACAGGTACCGCTGCACCGGCTAATCCGAGCCTGGGGAAAAGGGGCAATAGCTTTAAACTGACTTCACAGAACAAGCAGTTGTTGTCAGTGCCTCCCATGGTGCTAGTCGACCATCAGCCATTTTAATAAACTTTGCTAACTCACCAAGACTTTGCCAAGTTACACTACCAGTCAAAAGTTTGGACACCCCTTTTTCATTCAATGGAACAGACTTGTAGATACATACTGAAGACATCACAACTATGAAGCAGAATATATGGAAGTATGTAGCAAACATAAATGTGTGAAATACCTCAAAACATCTGTTATATTTTAGAGTCTTAAAAATTGTCCCCCTTTGCTTTGATTACTGCTTTGCACTCTTGGTATTCTCTTGATGAGCCTCATGAGGTGGTCACCTGAAATGGTTATCCAACAGTCTTAAAAGAGTTCCCAGAGGTAGAAATAAAAATAAATACAAACCACTGAATGAGAAATGTGCCGAAACCTTTGACTGGTAGCGAATACTTTTAAAGCTCCTGTCCTTAAAGCTGGGGCTGCTGAGTCACACAGTGTTCTTATGTAATATATAAATCCCCAACAGTTTTATTAACTAAAAATTCTCCAGTTTTCTTTTCTTTTCATCGATTCGTCTCTGTCTCTCTTACTTAGTGCAGCATTTTTCCGTTTGCAAGTGACGTGTTTTTAAGAAAATACCTTTGTAAAACATGAGGTTTTACTGACAGATTTGTTACAGAAAATGCATTAATAACACGATTTAAGTGGGGATTTCTTCTACTGGTTTGCAGAAGGATCAAGAGATTTTAATATATTTATCACAATTGAAAATTATTTACAATATATCCAGGATAATTACAGTTCAAAAATATATTGTAGGAATAATGTTGACTATTTATCAAACGTTTATTGCTGTGTGAGGAGTCTAAGGAAAAAAATTTTACGGACTAAATGTGAGACCTAAAACCTGATGTTCTGCAGAGTGAGTGGTGGCCTAGTGGTTAGAGAGCAGGGCATCTGGTTGTTGAGAGACCACAAGTACCCTGGTTCAAATCCCAGAGCCTGCCACTCTGCATCCCTGAGTAAGACCTTTAGCCCCTGGATGCTCCCCAGGCAGTGGGCTGCACAAAGGTGTCCAACTGCTGCATGACAGTAAAAGTTTTATGGTGGTCTGCTTCTCTCCCAGTGTCCTTTCATTTCAGACCTCAGCTTGAGACATAAGATATATTCATAAAGATGTCCAACCTGAGCTGTGAGTGTATGCATGGCGTGTGATATGCAGAATAAACCAAGAGAAGAGAGTGTGACCAGATTTAGCACTATGTCTGTAAGCAGCACCAAATCCTACGAGTTCCATGGAAAAACAGAGATGCTACCACAATCTTTGAATGTGTGTGTATGCATACTGCAGCGTATGCGGGCTAGACTTTATCACAACCAGCCACATTTCTTGCAGAAAGATAAAAGGGCCAAAGAAGCATGATCACTGCTTTGAGTACTGCATGTATGTGTGTGTGTGTGAGAGAGAGAGAGACACACACACACACACACACACACACACAGAGAGCCAGGGTGTTTGTCATTGATGAATCGGTGTTTAAGGACCTACACTTTACAGATAAGCAGGGACAATGTTCAGGGTAACAACAACATTGCTACAATGTAGGTTAAAATAATATTTATCTATGCATACGCCACGGAAAAAAAAAACCTCCATGTAGATGATAGTCATTCATGCTTTGCTTTCTGCAGTTTATGAAAGAGTAAAGAATACACAGAACATAGGCCTTAAACAGTGAGTTATTTAAAGCTCTTTCAAGCTTCTATATTGCATTTTTATTCATGTTTATTCAATTTAATAAGGAGTTTTTATTTAATTATATTTAAGCAAAAGTTTAAAAAAAAAATGCATTCCTTTTTAATCCCACTCCGAACGTAACTGTTTAATACAAGTTTAACAAGCACCAAGTAACATTGTCATTTCACATAAATAAAAATATACAATAAAACAAAATTGGGTTTGGAAGATGTTAAAGCAGTCTTCTTTCAGCAGTGTTGCTCACTTAGTGCTATTCACTGATAAAGCAGCATTCAGACCTCTAAAGCAACAATTTTTCCACAAAAGCAACTAGCGACAAATCTGTTGACTTTTTCAAGGAATTAAAACCTATTGGAGACTCTGAAGCACAGTTTTTTTTTCAAACTCTGCGATGAGCAGCATATGAAATTGTGTGTCTTTCTCTGATCTAAAATCTCTCACAGCCAGCCCAGTCCTCGCCTTGCCTCGCTCTGCAGTCCCTGCCAGCTACCGTCCATGTGGGAAATCTCTCAGCGGCCTAGAGCCAGACCACTTGACATGTTTTTTTACATTGCTGTTGACTTTTTTTTATCTGTTGTCGCTTTTTAGTCACTTTCATCTTACTCGGGCTTCTTGTTGGACCATAGGTTTAAAAAAAAAAACAACACATCAAGCTAATGAGAACTGAACTAAAAACCTAAAAAAAAAAATTATTTAATTGAAAAAGGAATCTTGCCAGTATCTTTTTGTCCTTCCCAAGCCTGAATAAAGAAGGAAGGTTGGAATTTAACATTAAAAAAGAATCAACAGGAGAAAGCTAATTTGTAATTTTAAACATATTTGGTGTGGGTTTTTTTGTCTATTCACCTTATTTTTGACTCTCCTACAACATTATTTTTCTCTCTATTAGGCATGGATGCAGATGGTCAATAATGTAAATTAGGTGATGAAGTAATTTAGAGACTTCTAGCGACTTTTAGGATAAAAACTAGCTACGGTCCTCATGGAGGAGTTGACAACACTGTCCGTCAGATGTAGGAGATCAAAGAGCACTTGGAGAGCATCATCTCTTACATCTCTTGACAGTAAACTAAGCAGTTAACTAAGAAGTCAATAGTCCTTGGCAAGCAATGTCCCTTCACCAGCCTGTATCCAGTCTCCATGGCAACAACTGTTGTACTGGCTGTTGAGATGAGGTAATTTATACTGGTTTTATTACTGCATCAGGTTTTAAATCAAGTGTTTACTGCAACATGAGAATATCTTGCAATAGACCCACTGCTTTGTCATCTAGTGCATCCAGGTGGATTCAGAGACGGTGCCACAGACAAAAACAAAAACACAGCAGTCCCTTTCTTGTGGTTAAGACTGTAAATAATCTTTTCTGTTATCCAATTCAATTCATTTCAGTTATATTTATATATTCACAACACATGTAGTCTCAAGGCACTTCACAAAGTCAATTCAATCGAATCATACAGATTTCAAGTCAAGTACATACATTCCAATTAATCGAACAGTGCAGTTAGAGTCAGTTATTTATTCAAATTGGTTAAAAAGTTTTTCTATCTAAGGAAACTCAACAGATTGCATCGAGTCAGTGACTTGCAGCATTCACTCCTCCCAGATGACCATGTAGCGACAGTGGACAGTCACTGGCATTGACTTTGCAGCAATCTCTCATACTGAGCATGCATGTAGCAACAGTGGAGAGGAAAACTCCCTTTTAACAGGAAGAAACCTCCAGCAGAACCAGGCTCAGTGTGAGCGGCCATCTGCCACGACCGACTGGGGGTTTGAGAGAACAGAGCGGAGAAGGAAAAAGAACACAGAAGCAGAACACAGAAGCACTGATCCAGGAGTACTTTCTATGGGAAGGAAAAGTAAATGTTAATGGATGTAGCTCCTTTAGTGGTTTCATCTATGACGAAAAAACAGATCAACTCTAAGCCAGTTTTCAAGTTTAGAGTATGAGAGAGAGCACATATAGTTAGTCACAGTAAAAGCTCAGTAGCTATGTCTAGGAGAAAAAATAGGGTTAAACACCGAAAGACAGGGCCAAGTGTATCATCGGTAGAAGGTGAGCATTGAGTTGTTGGCAGCAGAAGCTTGGATGATGCCCCCCTCCAGGAAGGTGTCACAGGTAGATACAGAGTCAGGCCAGGTGTAGCTTCTAGGAAGAGAAAAGAGAGAGAACATAAAGTTAAAAACTGAAATAACAGCAAATAATGCAAAATTGGAGAGTAGTGTGAGAATGTAGCAGGGAGAGTAAAAGT